AACCGTCAATTCGAACATTTTTTTTTTTTGTAAATTTTATTTTCTATTTTTAAAATAGTCTAAATTCAGCAATTAATTTTTAAAAAAAACTTCTTCAATCTTAAAATTTTCAAAAATGAGTATTTTTTTTTAAGACTTTCTCTTTTGAATTGATAGAGTTCAATATGAAATGCACATTCTCTAGGCTATATATAACATCTTGTAATACATATCAGGTCTAAAATAATATAATCAATTTGTTCTATGTGGTTTGTTTCACTATCAAGATAATTTTTTGAGATAATTTTTTCATTATCAAGATAATATGCACTTGTAGGTAAGATGGAAACTTGGTAATTAAGTTGAACTTAGTTACCGGAATGCCACTACCTATCTCCTCACAATCAATAGCTGAAATTAAAAATTGGCTTAGATCCAAAGGTTATTATTTGCGCGCAATTTTTACTTGGAAAAAGCTTTGCAATTGATCAAAAGTAATTAACTTTGAATCGCCGCGAACATTATTTATTTATTTTCTTTTGTAAATTTTATTTTCTATTTTTAAAATAGTCTAAATTCAGTAATTAATTTTTTTTTTAAAAAATCTTTTCATTCTAAAAATTTTCAGAAATGATTATATAAAATATTTAAACTTTAAAGTTAAACTAAAACAAATAAAATAATTTTGGACTGGTTCTCGATTTTAATAAACTGGAGCCGGAGGAATTGCAACAATGTCCTGTTCGGTTCGAATCAAACCGTGGTCATATTATTATTATTATTATTATTATTATTATTATTATTATTATTATTATTATTATTATTATTATTATTATTTGGTGCAAATTAATTAAGTCTAAAATTTTGAGTCAATATGAGTAACTAATTACCTACATTGATGGAATGGGAATGTAGGTATAAGGAGTCATAAATCCTCTTAGTCAATATGAGTAACTAATTACCTATGTTTTATGCTCATATTTGTCACTGCTGTCTGCAACACGGCCATCATTCCTTTGTTGTATTATTATGATGTTGTAACAGACACCAACATTGTTTAGCTTAGCTTAGCTTAGCTTGCTAGGTTTTAATTTCTCGCGCTGCTGGTTGGTATTGTATATGTCCCGGATGATGAAATTAAATACCATTTTAAGTTGTATATAAATTGTAATTATTGCGTAATAATAATCAAGACATGTCCAATAGAGTACCTGGCCTGCAGGTTTTCAATGACTCTCACCCTAGATCGATATTCTTGTTTGTATATTGTGTCTAACATGGCTTGCAGATAACCTTCAATGTATAGCTGCATTATTGCATAAATATTAAAGACAAATTTAGGGAAAGAATATATAATCAGTACAAGGGATTATATGTACTAAGACAATAGTTTGTACTGAGATCATTAGTTATGCTTGTCAGTAAACACAGAGTACAAACTGATGCTTTCAAGCCTTGCAACAAGAATAGGGGTGTAGATTGGTGGTTCACCCAACTCAACTTCACTTATTTCCTTTGGTACATTATAATTGGATACGAATATCAGGTAAAAGTAATGAATACAAAAGAAGCAATTAGAAAAGAATATCAAAATACTCCCTCAATCCCTAATTGATTGTCTGTCTTACTTATTGCACGATTTTTAATACAAAATAACAAATGTTACTAACTTCCCAATTTTGTCCCTCAAAAGTAGGCGTTGTTTGTACAAAATACAATTGTACTCACCTCTAGAAATTTGAAAAGTCAAAAGGGTAAATTAGGAAATGTAGAGTGATAGTTATGTTCAATTTTAGAAATATGACACTATTTTGGGACAAACCAAAAAAGAAAGTAAGACAAGTAAAATAGGACGGAGGGATTATATATTTAAAAATTAAATACTGAGGATGAAATAGAGATTGATGATAACTAGTTCATGTTCCATTACTGTCTTTGAAATCATAAGATGCATTTTCATCTGTCAATGTAAGATGGCATCTGGGTAATCCAAGAAAAGAAAATAAATGAAGTGAGACTAAAGTAATGCAATACAAAACAACTGGAACTTATGCATATTTTGTATATGATGAAATATCAAGAACTTATACAGAAAAGAAAATTAAAACTGGTCAGCGAAGATGAAACCATTTACTTATCTGTCAACGTCAACTTATTACAAAAGTAATTTAAACATAATTCAAACATCATCAATATTAATAAGGGTAGAGTGTAATGCTAACTTAGTCTGAAATTCTTAGTTTACAACGTCCTTGGTTACAGTCCATCTTAGTCTAATGCTAACTCAGTATGAAATTCTTAGTTTACAACATGTCCTTGGTTACAGTCCACCTTCCTCAATAAGCTCGCTTCCATTCTATCCAAAAGGCGGGTGGCTCAGCTTCGAGTGTTGTATATAAACGATTGAAAATCCTGGACAATTGTGGTGGTCATACTGAGCAACCTGTGCACTACAAAACCTTCCTACACCATTTTTGTTTCTTGTTATTATTTTTTGAATATTCCATAACGTAATGTTCTCTTTCTTTTATTCATGGTTGTAGCTCTATAGGTTTTAAAATTGACCCATTAAAATATATAAAATTAGGATTATATTGAGCAATTAATTAAAGACATTGACTTATTTTTTGACATAACATTTCTCTATTCTTACAAATGTATATATATATATATATATATATATATATATATATATATAGTCTTTGCCTTATTAGTGAACGTATAGAATTTGCTTGATACAATATATGATATTTTATTATATAAAATATTTTAAGAATACTTATAATGACTTGAGTATTCTAAAAAATAAAAATAAAAATTTATGATGTTTTTTCTCTTGATAAAATACACACTTGGACATAAGTTTTGTATGAATGAGACTGGATATCTGGTGCTGATAGGTAACTCTGTAGTGTCTGACAATCCGTGTAAATCTGTATAGACTGTTCTCCTCTTGCCCGTAGCCATGACAAGACTTCCTTGCATGCAAATGCCTTGGCCATTAGAGGGGAGAAGCAACTTACGAGCGGCGCACTGAATGCCGAAATAAAGTGCCCATCGGAATCTAGGAGAACAGCTCCAACCGTGGCCGATTTTGTCCCATGGTGATATCTGGCGTCCACGTAACACTTCCTTGTCGATATTGCAGCATCGTGCAGTGGTACGCCGACTGCGGTAGTGTCGGTGCCGCCAGTTCGGCCGAATGGACCGTAGCAGTATGGCCAGTGAGTATTACCGGCGAAGTATTCTGGGCGGCGGTAGAGGTGGCTCAAGCAACGTGATCGGCGACTTCGTGGACACGGTGGTGGACCTTTTGCCATGCATGCATGGTGGCAGCGGCTGTCGCAATTACTTTCTTTGGCATGGGTAGACAGGCATCCCATACAACTCCATTTCGCGCTTGCCATATATGATATAAAATTGCAGCTGCGTAAATAATTAAATTAGAGTTTAGAACATTCAGGACTGCACTAAACCATTCATGAAAAATATTTGTTATAATAATAGGGAGTGGAAGGTTAGATTGAGTTCATATGGACTTTGCATAGTCACACAAAACCAATGAGTGCATAGTGTCCTCATTCATAATTCCACACATAGCACACAATGAATTAACCTCCGCCCTCTTTATAAGCAGATGGTGGTGGGTAGGATATCACAAATTGCTCTCCATAAAAAGGTTTTTCATTTCGGTGGGACTTTTATTTTCCAAAGGTTAAGCCATTTATCAAATGCCCCACTATTATTCTCATAATCTCCATAACCTTTAACTTGTTTAATAAGGTTATTTCCAACATATATATATATATATATTTTTGGAATTTTGTGAAATATTCTTAATAGTTGATTTAAGCTCCGTTTGGCATGCCTAACGGTATATTTTTAATAGGGGTAGGCAATTCAGTTAAATGAGTTAATTTCCAAAATGGTCCTCCGAGTATACTCTTTTCTCAAATTGGTTCCTTAATTTTTAATTGCACCAAAGTGGTCCTTCGACTATTGAATTTTAAACCAAAATAGTCTTCCTTTAGCTTTAGTGTTAAGTGGGGGTTAAAATGAAGGACTTGGTTTGTAATACTTTCCTTTATTATGTGGTGTAAGTGAACTAAGCCCATTAAATAATTGATTAGACTAATATTTAGATTTAATTTATATCCTATTAATATGCTTATATAAAACATCTATTGATGTGATACATAACATCAATTATATAGCATCTAAGGCTGTCCTCGACCCTGCAATTCCTCCTATTTCTAAATGACATGGAATTTCAAAAGCAATAAGGTTGTCCTTATCCCAGCCAATCTCTCCCATTTGCTAAAATGGGTCCCACTTCCATATCATCAAATTTGTAAATTTTCTACTATTTGTTTTACATCCCTGCAAATTTATCTCTCTTTAAAAATGGGTCCCACTCACATATTATATTATAAATATATTCATAAAATAATAATAAAAAATTTTAAAAAAGAAAAAGCAAGTTGCTGCGCAGCTTTTGGCAGAGAAGCAAGCTGCCTTGGTAGCTTTAAGCAGAAAAGTTGTGGCTTGCAATTTTGCATATTATGCAAATTTGCAAGCCACTTGGCAATAAAAGAAAAGTGAAAATTATATTTGTATTTTCCATGTCACATTGCAAACCCTTTCTTGGTTGGGATAAGGACAGCCTAAGCTTGCAAGTATAGCAAGCTTTCTAAAACTGACTAAGGCTGACTGACGACAGCCTTTGTGTACTGCAGCAAGCAATTGTGTACTTTTAAATTTCTTATTATATTATTATATTATTAATGTAATAATATAATATAAAAGTGAGACCATTTTAAAAAGTGAGAGAATATTGCAGAAATGTAGTGTGAATAGTAAATGATTTATAAATTGGTGATGGGGAGGTGGGACCCATTTTAAAAAGTGATAGAGAATTGCAGAGATAAGGTTAGCCTAAGTTATAGAACTACTTAGAAAATACCAGTATATCATTTAGGGTTCTGACTTCTGAGTCACAAAACTGTTAACTATGGCTGGAAATGTACACTGTTTCGGCAAGGTTAGGTTTATCGTAGATTATACTTTGTATAATTAGACTATATTTATATCTAACATGGACGAGTTTCAGATGGCGATGGGGATGGAAGGGAGTTTTGCTCTGAGATTAGGTGAGGTCGCCTGCTCTGCCGGCGTCCTTCTTTTCATGTTAACCGATGAAGCCGCCTTCTATCGACGATACACCTCCTTCTGGTATATATATATCTACCTACATTTTACTTCAATTCAATGGGCCGGGCTTTCTTAGCTTCATTCCTTGCTCAGATGGATAGTTGATCTGATCAATTTCAGCTTAGTTATTTGTTCTTGGTTCTCAGATTTCTAGCTTCCAGATATATAATTGCTTAAATTCTGTGTGTGCCTGTAAAGCATATATTTTAATTTCATCCATGTCTACATTACATGCAATTGGTGATTTGATAGATTCTTATATATGGATGTGCCTTTCTGTTTCTTGTTGTGGGCTGCAGCTTTTTGGTCATCGTGACGGGCTTGGTGATACCATGGAGCTTGGTGTTGGCAATGGTGGATCGCTCCATTGATAGAATGGAAGCTCCAATTCCTCGACCATGTGTAATTTTGATGGTTGCTGTAATTGATTGGGTAAGAATAAATTCAATATATTTAACCATCCCACATGCACCCAAAAGGAACTTTCATTCCTACATGGGATAGATACATTGTCAACCAATGTATCAACATTATGTCAAACTGCCCGCACGGGCTTAACCTTGATAGCGACAATGTGAAAATTATGTCTAAAATGAGCAGATTCTCAAATACTCTGTCGGGTCTTAATTAGGGTAGGAAATTCAACCTTTCCGGAAAAGAACATTATGTCAAACTTCAAACACTTAGTATTCCATTTTATTAAGAGGTCAGTAAATTTGACACTCTGATAGTCTATACTCTAGTTAGGGATGCAGGCTCTTAATCGGGCTCTCATGCTTGGGACATTGTCCCCCCCCCCCCCCCCCCCCCCCACATCTTCACTTATTCTACTTAATATAGCTTATTCCTTTGGCTTTAAAAAAAAAAAAAAAAAAAAAAAAAAAAAAAAAAAACATGGACATTATATTTAGTTTTTGTGAGTTATAACATTTCCAATTTCATACCATATAACAGATATTTGCATTCATGTTGCTGGGTGCATCTTGTTCAACAGCTTTCTCAACAGGCTTCTTGTTCCCTGATGTCCACTCTTATTATAATAAAGCATTGTGCACCCTAATATATTACGTCTCAGCTTTTCTGGCCTTACTATGTTATATAATGTTCTTTGCCGGTGCACTCTCCAATGTCTTTATCGTTCCTAGTTTGTAAATTGTAATGCATGCCCACCAAATGGATCATATTTCACCATTATATTAATATATATCATTCTAAGAATTATTTTACTATATTTGGAACTCAAAGATTTGCATTATATTGATCGCTTTATCTGCGGTTTTAGATGAACTAAAATCACTATATACATCAATAAGGATGTCAATTGAGTCAACCTCGTTCGATTTTGAGCTAGTCTTATCGGACTTATCAATTTTTTAGTTGAGTTTAAAATTCTTGCCATTGTTATACTATATATATAGACAGTGTCTACCTTGCATTATGACCATGTCTCAAAATTAAAGTGATATGTGTAGTTAATATATTATGTGTCTTCAATTTATATACAATCACGTAATTTGTTAATTGTACGTACATAACATGTTAAATGCATACACAGTATCTGAATGCCATTTTGGACTAGGACCCACTGCATGTACCCTGGTTCATGGTATAATTTGCTAAATTCTTGACATTAACCGTAAAATCTCGAACTGTTGGACTTATCAAACACGCTTAGCTAAAACTTTTCACATTTTCAAATGAACATTCTAAATTGTCAATTTTAATAAACTAGTGCATATACACTAATAAATATAAACTTATACATGATTCAATTAATCTAACCTCTATTTTCAAATTTCAACTAAAAATAATTAATATATTTAAACTATAGAGTTAATTCCAAGGATGGTCTGATCTATTGTCTATTGACAATTACCAATTTTTATCATTAATTTTCAATTGGACCATAAATGATCTTTTAACTATTGACATTTTACGAATTTTCATCCTTAACTTACAATTTGACTATAAATGGTCCATTCACTATTGATATTGTTTCAAGTTTGGTCTTCCAGTTAAATATTCATTTAGTAAATATTAAATTTAAGGGTAATAGTGTAAAAACTGGCCTGCTGTTGAGATGGGTAAATTGACTCATAAACTTAATACATTGGGTTCATTAATCGTGAGAATGTGAAGAACAGAATTTTTACATAATTACCCTTAAATTTAATGTTTACTAAATTGATATATATTTAACTAGAAGTCCAAATTTGGAATAAAATCAATAGTTGAAAGTTGATGATAAAAATTGGTAAATGTCAATAGTCAATGAACCATTTATGGTGAAATTTAAAGTCGGAGATAAAAAAAATGGTAAATGTCAATAGTCCAATAGTCTATTTTAAGAATTAAATCTTATATTATAATATAATAATTATGATAAGTTTTTTATTTTTCATTATTTATTTTCATACTAAAAATATTTTATTTTGTACTAATTTATTAATATATTTATTAAAATTTAATTTAAAAAGTACTTAATATGAGCATACATATAAATTTCATATATATTATATTTTACAACACTTCTAAAATAAAGAATAGCCTTAAGGGGTTCGGGCTATTAGGCTAGCCCATTCAGACCAAGAATTTTATTTGTTTCGAATTTATTTTCTTGGAGTTAAAATATTTCAAATTAAATAACTATTCAATAATTTTTAATATTATTTTTGATAGATATTTGTATCGGTTAATTGGTATTGATTTTTCCAGTAGCACACGGGAACGCAAATCCTTCATGATGGCATCATATAGAGAAAATTTCAATTTTGGTCATATGACTATAGGGGTCTTGTTAATTTCAGTCCATGACTTTTAAAAGTGTCAATTTAGTACCTTAAATATGCAATTTTTGTCAATTTTGGTCACACAGGCCAAATTTCGCAGGAAAATTTTAATAGTTAAAATAATGAGGGTATTTTGATTATTTCAAGCCTTTTTTCTTCTTCTCCGGCGAGTCCATCCCTTTCTCCCCCGTTTTCAGCGTTCTTTATTTCTCCCTGTAAACCCTATATTTAATATCATCAAGCCTCATTTCCGCCTCATCTTAGTTCATTGCATTCGCTATAAACGGGAGCGGAAGTGATGAACTCGCCTGGGAAGAAGAAAAGAGACGTGAAATGGTAAGAATACCCTCATTATTTTAACAATTAAAATTTTTCGGCGAAATTTGGCCGGCAATTTGATCGGAGTGACCAAAATTGACAAAAATTGCATAGTTAAGGTATTAAATTGACACTTTTAAAAGTCAGGGACTGAAATTAACAAGACCCCTATAGTCATATGACCAAAATTGAAATTTCCTATATATATATATATATATATATATATATATAGGTAAATGCTTTCCGTGCGGTTGTGCGGGTGATTAATATGCGCAAGTTTTGTACTTAATGTGCGTGAATCTTGTGCTTAATGTGCGTGAGTTTTGTACTTAATGTGCGTGTGTAATGTTTAATGTGCGTGAGTTTTGTGCTTAATGTGCGTGAGTGTATACTTAATGTGAGTTGTTGAAACTTTAAAGTGTATGAGTTTTATTATGCTTAATGTGCGTAAGTTTTGTGCTTAATGTGCGTGAGTCATGTGCTTAAGGTGCGTGAGTTTTGTACTTAATGTGTGTGAGTGTGTACTTAATGTGAGTTGTTTTTAAAACTTAAGGTACGTTTGTTTTTGTGATTAACATGCGTGAGGCTTGTGCTTAACATGCGTGAGACTTGTATTTAACATGTGTGAGGCTTGGGCTTAACATGCGTGAGGTTTGTATGCTAATTCTTGTTCTCGACCGAAGCCGGAGTAATTGTAATCTAGGATTCTTGTTTTGATTTATTTTGCAACAATGCCCTGTTCGGTTCAAACCAAACTGTGTTCATATTATTATTATTATTTGGTGCAAATTAATTAAGTCTAAAATGCTTAGTCAATATGAGTAACTAATTACCAACATTGATGGAATGGGAATGTAGGTATAAGGAGTCATAAATCCTCTTAGTGCTCAGTTTTTATGAGTGATTGCATCCAGAATTTGAAGAGAAAATCTATTCTCTGATCTATTCACATACCATACGTGATCCGGCCTGCAACAGGCCGATCGAATGAAGAGATTTTCAATATCTGAACCAAGCTAAGGATTCAAAAATCACCAACCAGAAGGAGCTGAGAAAATTAATGATGGAAGCTTGGTGGTTCACCCAACTCAACTTCACTTATTTCCTTTGGTACATTATAATTGGAGGATACAAATATCAGGTAAAAGTAATGAATGCCAAAGAAGCAATTAGAAAAGAATACAAGGGAATATGGCTTTTTATCAAAATATATATTTAAAAACTAAATACAGAGGATGAACTAGAGATGACAACAACTAGTTTATGTTCCATTACTGTCTTTGAAATCATAAGATGCATTTTCATCTGTCAATGTAAGACGACGCACCTTAATTGCAGCATCCGGGTAATCCAAGAAAAGAAAATAAATGAAGCTAAGTGATGAGACTAAAGTAATGCAATACAAAACAACTGGGAACCTATGCATATTTTGTATGATGAAATATCAAGGACTCATACAGAAAAAAGAAATTAAAACTGGTCAGTGATGGTCAACGTCAACTTATTACAAATGTATACAATAGACTGATTCAAACATCATCAACATTAATTTCATAAAGAATAGATCGTGTAATGTTAATTCAGTCTGAAATTCTCGGTTATCAAGAAGGTAGGCTGTGGTTTACGACCTGCGGCGCCCTTGATTATCAAGAAGATAGACCGTAAATTCACCTTATTCAATAAGCTCGCTTCCATTCCATCCCAAAATGCGGGTGGCTAGTGCCATATAGACCATTGAAAACCCTGGACAATTGTGGTGGTGCAACCTGACCACTGCAAAAGCTTCCTACACCATTTTTGTTTCTTGTTACTATTTTTTTGAATATTCAATAACATACTGTTTTCTTTCTTTTATTCATTGTTGTAGCTCTATAGGTTTTAAAATTGACCTATCAAAATATATAAAATTAGGATTATATTGAGCAATTAAAAACATGACTTAATATTTTTTTTATATAACATTTCCCTATTCTTATAAATGTATTAACATTATTATTCACACCTATATACAGCCTGCCTTATTAGTGAACGTATAGAATTTGCTTGATACAATATATGAGATTTGATTATATAAAATATTTTAAGAATACTCATAATGACTTGAATATTCTAAATTTTTTTTCTTTGATGATGTTCTTCTCTTGGTAAAATACACACTTGGATATAAACTTATTGTTTAAATATTTGATTTTCTTAATTATTCATGTACAAAAATGATTTAATCTACATCTACAATTCTAATGAGAGCCAATAATGTTAGGTCATTTCTTAATTATTCATGTACTAAAATGATTTAATCTCAACAATTCTAATAAGGGCCAATAATGTTAGGCTATTAACCGGAACAAAAAAAAAATGTCGGAATATTGTTTCTTAAAATGAATGGTTTATATTATTTTGATTTTAGTATTTTTAATGATTTTTTTTATTTACCCTTTATTATATTATTTTATTCCCTTAAATTACCTCAAGATTCCGTTAGTATAAACTTTAGTAACGGAATATTCCATTAACTATTTATTATTTTTAACTTACTCATTAATTTCTATAATAAAGGTTTTAGGTTCGAACTCATCCTAATTAGAATTGGCATAATCGTTAAACATATACTACGAATATGTTAATATGTATTAAAAATATATATAATATAAGATTTAACATAATCAAATAATTAGTCCAACTAAATACATAACATTCAATAAAGTTAAGCATCAAAGATTATAAATCGAGAACTTTAAAAATCATTTGAATTTAATGCATTTAAAAAAAAAAAAAAAAAAAAAAAAAAGAGACAAATTTAGGTTAAGTTTATTTTTCCAGTTTAATTAATCTTCTTTTGATTATTTAGATCAGAAAAAAACTTAATATTTTAATTATACTTTTGCATTATTGGTATGATTTAGGTCGTTATGATATTAATATTTTTTGTATGTATTTTTTTATAATGGTACAATTGTCCATTACTTTACAAATATTATACTATTATTTTTTTATCGGACAAAATTATTCGTATATCATTGTCAGACTTGCTTGACCTAACTACAAAATTGTTGATCATAAATACAATTACACATTGACTCTAAAACGGTAGGATCATTTTTTAAAGAATTGACAATGTTGACATCCCAGTGACTCCACTTAACAAAACTAAAGTTAACCCCATTTATTGTTGAGGCAACTTCTTTAACATCGTCTACTAAAAAGCCAAAAGCAGAATTAAAAGAGCTTGAATGTAAAGCATTAAAGCATAATTGAGAGTCCGTTTCAACGTCAACGTCTCCCATCCCTGTGTTCTTCAACCAACTTAGAGCTTCCCGGATGCAAAAGACTTCTGCCTCCACCACATTAAACTGCCCCGGTACGCAAACATATTTTGCTGCCAAGAATCGGCCGTCCTCGTCGCGTAGTACCCATCCAAAGCCCATAACGTTATTATTTGTATCAAATGCGGCATCTGTAGTCAGCTTAATTCTAAAAAATAATTGGAGGGCACCAGAACCGGGAAAAATAAAAATACTATTAAACAAAAAAATAATAAGAAAATACTAAAAGCAATAAATAAAGAAGAAAAAGTTTGTTTAACTAATAAATAATAAATATTCCGTAGTAAATAAGACAAGTAAAATGGAACAAAAGGCAGGGATATGAAATATAAAAATTATACACAAAGACCCTTAGTGAGAAATCCATTACTGTTTTTACAGTAGAGCTCTACAAAGAACCAATTTGCAGCATCGCAAACAATGCAGGAAACTTTCACAAATCTTACAAATAACTTCATTCCATCAATGGAGAATCTATCCTATGGAAAATCTATCCTCCCAGTTCGGATTAACTACCCGTAAGCAAGCAAGCAAGCGACCAATTATATTACTCCACCAGTTCCTTCAGTATGAGATATCGGAAACTGGAACTGTGGGGAACCCATTCGATGCTCTTGCGTGCCTTTCCTTGCTGGCATTTCTTGAGGCTCTTCTTCAGGGAATCGGGCAAAGACTGCTGGAGCATTTCCATTACAGCCACGGGGCACAGGCCTGAGTGCTTGGCGAATGACTCGACAATCTTGGGTAGAAGGATCTTGTGATCCTTCCTCACACCAAAGGTGGCTCTTATATACTCTTCTTTTGCTGCTTCCAGTTCTTGAAGTATTCGTTTTGGCGTGTATACTCTGACCTGAAAGCGAGAAAACACGAAACCACTTGATGAGGAACCATGTTTCTTTTGCATCTAATCGTGTAAGAAGCAATCACATCTTCATAGGATGGATGCTAATCGTAGAGGTGAAAATAGAAAACAGAAAACAGAATATTGTTATAAGCAACTACCGCGGGATCTGAATGGTTGCCAGAACACAGTGCAAAATGCACGAGTGGCTCCGGGCGTTCAATCACATATGCTTGTCGTTCATCCCCCGCCTTAAATTTACCCTTGGAAGAAAGTAGCAAGCGAACCCACTGCACTCACACAAGTAACTTCAATCAAGCTAGACGCTATTGAAAACGAAACATGCTACTTGTAGGAAAAAAGAACGAAAAAAATATATTCAAAAATCAATTCCAAAACGAGCTTCAAGGAAATCAATGGTCTTGCAACATCGTTATCCTCAAAGATAGTTGGATTGAAGCATGTGCTCCATCTCAACTAAAAGCCTAAGCTGATAGTTGGATTGCACATTAATGGTTATATGCTCAACAGTAAAGAGTCGAAAACTCACCTGTGCAGGTCGAGGCATTCGACATCCCAGAATAGAGTTCTGTATAACGTCTGCACTTACTATGTGCCCCCCGACATTATAGGCAGCCTGGATTAATGAAGCCATAAGAATATTTTTCTAAATAAAGTTAAACTATATATAGAAACCGGTTTATTTTGCAAACCTTCAAGAGAAGGAAGGCTCTCTTCACGCTGTTTTGTGGAACTCCATACGCCAAAAACGCCTATAGCAAATGAAATATTAGTAACCATCAGCCCGTAATCCAAACGAAACACTCGTACATTCACAGAGAATTATCATTACATGCATCACCAACGCATTGTGCACGTTAATCCAGAATGCTAGTTTCTCCTCATGGGTCAACTTTCGAGGATCCATTTCTTCTAACCGAGAAATAAGTGACCTACATTATAACATATCGTTAAGAATTTCTAGCTAAAAGAAGTGCAAAGTACCATACTTGAAAGTCTAATATTATGTCAATTGTCCTTACTTGAAATTCTGTAACGAGGGCTCAATATCACCGAGTTTCTGATTATCTCTGTATATACATTGTACTTCAACCATCGAGCTGTAAGGTCCGCTGAACTCCTTCAGCCCTTCAACATGGAAAGGATTATCCAATCGGACATCGAAAGACGAGTCATTTCTAAACCCGGGACTCCATGTCTCACATTGATCTTTCGGCGAAAATGCACTTATTGATGACAAAGACGAGGTTGGAGACGAAAGGCCCTGAGTCGTCTTTGCTGGTTCAGCAAGCTTGCAATATATAGTGCACATGCACTTTATCATGTCCTCAGACAGCTTGTTCGGTGACACCGGAACATGATCAGAGATACGGGCGCCGAGATGCTCCGCCAAGCTGATTATATTTGAAGAAGCATTCTGCGCATACTGAAATACAGGCATTACAAATTGTTATAAACTAATATTGGGCTAGGGTCACTCAACTGGGCTATAATGCACATGGACCAAACTACACTAAAAGATTGAATCCAACCAATTAGCTAATCTAACTCATGGCCTTATAAACTCATATGTTCTTTTTTAGACCAAGTGAGGTAGTGGAGCAAATAGTTTTACGGTTTTACCCCTCCAGGATGCAACATACCTCCATCATAGATATTGGTTGAGAATGGCAAGCACGCACAGCTTTGCCCGGTGTCTCTTGCAGCGGGGAAGTTCTGTTTGACAAAGCCGAATGTTGAGGTAGCGAGGAATGACTCCGATGAACAGCAGAACCTAAAAGTTTGTCTTCTGCAACGCCATTGTTTTCTTTACGTACATCTGATACTGGCTGTTCATCAAGTTCTATTGCCGACTTCTCACTCTTCAATATTACGTCGGGATCTGAAAAGTCCAGCCTTCTTCTTGGCGTGCCTACTAGAGATTTTAGTTTGTCGTCAATTCTGGAAGGTGATGAGGTTGAGATTTGCTGATCAAACGCTTTTCGGTATAGTGAAAGGAGGTACTGTTCCAAATGCCCAACTTCGAACTCTAGTACAGCTATTTCTCGAATCAGTTCTGTGGCCGGCTGCAATGAATTTATACAGATTTCTTCACCATTATAGATACAATACTTTATTATTATGATTACTGTTATTGCTATATTCGGGTATGCTATGTTTTCAGCTTCGAAGCTACCTTAGGTATCGAGATTTCATCTGCGGTCTTCTGGCATGTAGACCGATACCCTAACGCTTTCTCTAGAGCACATCGGACAGCAACTTGGGTCTGCAATCGTTTCTCGAGTTGCATTATCTGCAGAGAGTGAGATAAGATTTTCTTATTTCCCCCAAACTCGGCCAGCAACAAACGAATCGGTTAAAAGTTAAATTATCTCCATTTTATCATACCTCTTGCGTTAATGAACTTTGGACCTCGGCAGTAGATGATTGTTTCTTCTTGCTCTCGAAGCAATCATCTGAGTGCTCCATATCCTAGTGAAAAAGAGACCATTCGAGTTAAGCAGTGATGTTACAGGTTTTGGTTCGACTCGAAATGACACACCAGAAAAGTTTAACGCAACTAAGCTTCCTTACCAACTTCAATTCAGGGGAAGCCTCGGGGGAACAACGAAAACTATCATGTCCAGTTTTTACGCTATCTGGAAAGCTGTGATTGTAAAAGCAACAAAAGAACATCAGAAATTGGTAAGAATAAACAGCACATAGATAATTGCCACTGCACCCTTAAACAGTCATAGCGCTATGTTTCCATGGCATTACACAACAACATAATTGCTGCAGTACAAAACAAAAGCATCTAATAATTCCCCAATATACAGCTGGAATTGGGGCAGACCGAACAAACAAGACTTCGAGATTATCTACTTGGCCATTGCAGACCCAAAAGTTCACACCATTCACAAATGCTCTTATTGTATTTCATGAATAGCAAACCCAACTCTTTGCTCCCATTGCAGCAAATCTTGCAAGTATATCTAGTTAGGATGAGAGTAGTATAGCTCTTGTCCACAAAAGGCGAAACCCCTCACCGCAAGCTAAGGGACCCCACATCTCAGCCCGACAGAATGGTGAAGGGATAAATCACGGTGACTTAGCATTCTCTCGAATGGGAGGACCAGTGCCTAGTGCCTACAAGGAGCAACCACACTGCGGTTACCCGGTCTCGATCATGTGGCATAGCCCACAAGACTACTATCTATTATCTAGGTAAACTAATAAACCACTATGGAAGATGGAAGTGTTTCCATTTGCAGAAAACCTCAAAACCCAGAATCTTCAACCTCTAAACCCAAAACCTCAGACAATAAAGCTGAAAAAGAAGAAATCCAAACACTACCTCTTAGAACGCTTGTGTGTACAGGTTCTCATAGCCGCCCCAGGGGATTCATCGAAGCTAAACCCTTCAAACCCCATCACTGAAACCAATCCATAAAAAGGAAAACGAAGTTATGTCAGCACCAACCTGAAACCTCAACATAAGAGGAGAACCAAGAATGCATAACAGGAGAGAAAATGTTCAAGAGAAACCTCAACATTACAAGCCTATAAGCAAAGAAATCAGCTACCAAGATTGGATTTTTCCGACCGACCCAGAAGTCCCAGATGCTCAAAAACATCCAACGGGTCCTCGAAAACCACAACTTGGAATCAAGACCCCACCTTTCTCCCTTGCATTGTTCGAAACACCCAAGTTAATTAGCGAACCCGGCAACGATTTCTTGCGTTTTTCACTGCCACACCCAAATTGACAAGGCAATAAACTAGTACAAATAGTTCACAGTCCCAATAGAGTAATGCCAACCCATACCACCACAATGCCACATTCCCCTCACCTGGGCGCTATAGTGGGAGTTGGTGAAGCTACCACATAGCCAAATACCCAAATCCACACACTGTGGTCCTTTCCTGCTACTAAAATCGAAAACTGGGTGATAATTGTTTAAGGAAGGCACGGAAAGGGTTCCCAGAATTGCATGTAAAACCAAAAGGCTAGCCAGCTAGGCAAAAGGGGGTCATAACTCACAAGTCACCTCACCTAAAAAGGGCCGAAAATAAAGTGTGGGTTCAATGGGAGAAATTGAGAAAATGTGTGCTTCAAAGTAGCCCAGGTTTTGTGGGGTTTTGCTTGTCTTTAATCTCCTTGTGAATAAGGTTCGAAAGGGGGTGATGCATACCTGCGTTGTCATCCTGTACCAGATAGTGAGACACACTATCACGACTTCCCGTTACTCATTTTTGGTTTCTTCCTGCTTTATCTAACCCATAGTTTTTTTATGTAACGTAGTATAATTGGTTAGCTCTCAAAGATATGTACAGGATGAAACATGTTTCGGGACTCTAACATCACAAGGAGATAAACGAATTTAGGTTATTCAACTCTTACAACAAGTTAAACTTGAAATTTTATAGTTATCAAGTCAATTATTCGATTAATTTGTCTGGAATTGCCCTACTTGCCCATGTGTTGTGTATATCTCATATTACTAGAAGATAACAAGTGTTTGAGTGTAATAGAGCAACGCGAGTGAAGTAGAAAGCAACAAGCCAAGCTAAAACAAAGGTAAATTTGTAAACATACTGTAAGTTAGGGTTACATATAAATATGATACTTGTACTCCTAAATATCATTACAAAAAAAAATTTAAAAAAAAATTATCGTCACACTTATTGACGTAAGCACATTGTTGAACCAGGTAAATCCTATTTTTTTTTCATTTTCTATTTGTTTTGAATTTCTTGATATCATTTTTTTCAACAATATGTAATGTTAAATAAAATTGTTACTATATGAAAACATCTTTTTTTCAAACCAAATTCAATGCTCATAACATTTTCTTTTAGCTATGGTACGGTATTTGAATTGGTCCAAAGACTTAAAGTATAGACCTATATGGCTATACCCTTGTGCCCTTGTCCTCGTGTAAAGCAAAACAACTTTTGTAGAATCGAAAAGTTTAGGTATCTTAGACTTGGCTAATGATTTAATATTGATTGAATATCAAATAAATTATTACAGTCTAGCTAGTATGATTGAAGTGCCTAGCTTCAATCATCTATATGTAACAACTCGATTATTTATCCATCTCAGTATCATTTTGAGAACTAAACCTTGTCAATAAGCGAATGACTGAAAATACTGTAAAATGTTTGAAGATACCTTATTAATGGTCATCCTTGGATAGTTACATGTGCATTTTAATTATTACAAACTAAACACTATTATTGTGGGGGATTTTTAATTTACTGAATTGTAATCTTATTATAGCAAATTTTCTTACGAGAATATAATTATTTCTCCATCAAATATGGTCAAGAAGATGCATGATTTGTGTAAGATATATTGAATATAATATATATTATATATAATATATCTATGTATTTATATATAATAATATATAAATAGGAAGAGAGAGAGAGAGAGAGGGGAAGATTAGAATGAATAATGTTTATTCACTGGGATGATTTAACAAATGAAAATACACCACATATTTATACTAAGAGAAAGCTAATAAATAGGAAGCTAATGCTCCATGTACTACTCCTATAATCTAGGCATGTTCTACATTAACATACATGACTCACCCATGTTTGTTTTTATTAAATTCTTTGACTTGGTTTAATTACTAATAATAATAATATTATTATTATTATAACATTGCCTCCTTTAAACCAAAGTTGAATGTATTGGTCATCCCAATATCTCCTTCTTCAATTTAAGAAATGTCTCTGTCTTCAAGTTGGATATACTGACTTGTATTTCGTTCTGTAAACCCACTTTACTCCAATTGGCTTCTTCCTAGGAGGTAAATCTGTTAACTCCCAGGTACCATTATTTTCAATGGCACGTATCTCCTCATCCATCGCCTTAAGCCAATGAGTTTCTGTAGCAGCCTCCTCAAAAGTTAAAGGATCACAATCTGCAAAGAGTGCAAATTGAATAATCTCTTCATCAGACAGGTCATTATCATGACCCAAAACATAATCTTGCAAGCGAGCTGGTAAGTGGCGCTCGCGCTGAGATTGCCGAACTGACGACTCTGGCTGTGAAGGAAACTGGACATTATCTGGAATCGGTTGCTCTTCAACAATATTTTCAACAGCATGAATAACAACTGAACTTTCATCTTTAGCTAACCAATCCCAGGCACCATATTCATCAAAAGTGACATCACGACTTATAACAACCTTTTTAGTTTCAGGATTGTATAGTTTATAAGTCTTTGAAGCGTCACTATAACCAATGAATATGCATTTCTCACCTTTATCATCCAACTTCTTTCTCAATGGATCTGGCACATGTGCATATGCCAAACATCCAAAAACCTTGAGATATTTGATAGAGGGTTTTCTCCCACTCCATGCTTCTTCGGGTGTCTTATCACTGACACTTTTAGTTGGACACCTATTCAACACATAGACAGCACAAGCAACAGCTTCTGCCCAAAAAGGATTAGGTAGATTCTTGGATTTCAACATGCACCTTACCATATCCATGATAGACCTATTCTTCCTCTCAGCCACTCCGTTTTGTTGTGGAGTGTATCTAGCTGTCATTTGGTATTAGAGCCAGTCAACCTTTCAACCCCGAAATATTTCTCGTAGTGAAATATGGCAACAAATTTTAATATTGTATGGTCGGGTCCCAAATTGGACGGGAAACTCGATTACAATTATTGGCAAATTATGATGTCCACACATTTGCAAGCTCAAAATCTTTGGAGCTTTGTTGATCCCGGTCTACCCGAAGGAGCTGATGCAGCCGCTATACGGCGAGATAAATTGGCCTTGGGTCAGATTCACCAAGGTGTTCATTATTCCATTTTTGGGCAATTAGCTCGTGCTCAAACAACAAAACAAGCTTGGGACATCTTAAAGGTGTCACACAAAGGAGTCGATCGGGCACAGAAGTCTAAGTTGCAGTCGTTGAGAAAGTTGTACGATAATTGTGAGATGACCTCTACAGAAACAGTAGATGCGTATTTCACTCGTCTTATTGATATGGTGAATAAGATGAGGCTATATGGAGATACGATTGAAGATGGTGCAGTGGTTGAAAAAGTTTTTCGAACTATGCCGATGAAGTATGACCATGTGGTGGCTTCAATAACAGAGTCACACAAAATCGAGCTCTTATCAATTGCAGAGCTGAAAGGTATGGTAGAAAGTCATATTGACAGGATTGCGTCAAAATCGGAACCACTAGCAGAAGAAGCTTTGAAGAGTCAAGTCACCCTTAATGTGACTGGCACTAATCAAAGAGGTGGAGGATCTGGTAGAGGTCGTGGAAGAGGAAGAGGATGTTCTAGTGGAAGAGGTCGTGGTAACTCCAACCAAGGAAGAGGTGGAGGTAATACCAAACAAGGTAAATTTCCATTTCATTGCTACAATTGTGGCAAGTATGGACACAAGATTGCAGATTGTTGGTATAATGAGGACAACAATCGTGGAAATCAAGCAAACATTGTTGAAAATACTGCTGAAAAGTCTGGTGAGAATTCTGAAACCTTACTTTTGGCCAGTGATAGTTTCTCTGCTGATAAGAACATATGGTTCTTGGATACTGGGTGTAGTAACCATATGTGTGGGAAGAAAGAATTGTTTTCCGAACTAGATGAATCAGTCCGGTCTGAAGTAACGTTTGGCAATAAGTCAAAGGTGCCAATTTTGGGAAAAGGTAAAATCTCTATTCAGTTGAAGGATGGTACTCAAAATTTTATATCCGATGTGTTCTATGTTCCTGAACTAGACCAAAATTTGTTGAGTATGGGTCAGCTGTCAGAAAAAGGATATAAGATACATATTGCTCAGGGGTGTTGTACCATTGAAGATGCTAAAGGAGTTTTGATTGCAAAGGTAAATATGTCCCAAAATCGACTATTTTCTTTGAAAATTAAGCATACTCTCCTTGATTGCTTTAATTCTGAAGTTTGTGATGATAATTGGTTATGGCATATGCGGTTTGGGCATTTTCATTTCTCTGGATTAAACTATCTTGCGAGAAAGGAACTTGTTTCTGATTTACCTGTTGTGAATGTCCCTGATCGTATATGTGAGATTTGTGTGATTGGGAAGAAGCATAGAGATCCCTTCCCTGTGGGCAAGTCAAGGAGAGCTACAAAACAGTTGGAGATTGTTCACTCAGACCTGTGTTCGTTGGAGGTTACCTCACATGGAGGTTGTAAGTACTTTATTACTTTCATTGATGATTTCAGTAGGAAAACATGGGTTTACTTTCTGAAGCAAAAGTCTGAAGCATGTGATGTTTTCAAACAATTTAAGACTTTTGTTGAAAAGCAAAGTGGTTATGAGATTAAAATCTTGAGAACTGATAGAGGTACAGAATATATTGCCTGTGATGATTTTCTGAAAGAAAAAGGTATTCAGCACCAAATGACAGCTAGATACACTCCACAACAAAACGGAGTGGCTGAGAGGAAGAATAGGTCTATCATGGATATGGTAAGGTGCATGTTGAAATCCAAGAATCTACCTAAGCCTTTTTGGGCAGAAGCTGTTGCTTGTGCTGTCTATGTGTTGAATAGGTGTCCAACTAAAAGTGTCAGTGATAAGACACCCGAAGAAGCATGGAGTGGGAGAAAACCCTCTATCAAATATCTCAAGGTTTTTGGATGTTTGGCATATGCACATGTGCCAGATCCATTGAGAAAGAAGTTGGATGATAAAGGTGAGAAATGCATATTCATTGGTTATAGTGACGCTTCAAAGACTTATAAACTATACAATCCTGAAACTAAAAAGGTTGTTATAAGTCGTGATGTCACTTTTGATGAATATGGTGCCTGGGATTGGTTAGCTAAAGATGAAAGTTCAGTTGTTATTCATGCTGTTGAAAATATTGTTGAAGAGCAACCGATTCCAGATAATGTCCAGTTTCCTTCACAGCCAGAGTCGTCAGTTCGGCGATCTCAGCGCGAGCGCCACTCGATTATTTATCCATCTCAGTATCATTTTGAGAACTAAACCTTGTCAATAAGCGAATGAC